ATCTACTAATATAGATACTTTATTTTATGATATTTCAATAGCATTTGACCTAATTAGTGTTTTAAACATAATTATATTTATTATTTATATATCTATATAAAATATAGATATATTATTTATTATTTAATCATAATTTATGTGCATATTTAAATATATGCAGTGACTTATGTTTCTGCTTAACTCAAGATTTGAAAGCTAAATGTTTTAGATAAAGTGGAAAAAAACCCCAAAGCTTTACAAATATTCTCTTAGCTTTCCCAATTTTTTGTTCTCGCATATTCAGCTATGTCCTTTATATTTGGCATTTTGATTTATTAAGCAATCTTAAGTATTAAAGACTTTTAGCGTACCAGTAAGACTTCAGATGCATTGTGCCTTGTGTCAATGATGAATTAATTCCAGCAGAGCACAAAAGTTACTATTATTTAAGCCTAGCTCCTCACCTTTGCTTTTACATCACAGGCCAGTTTGAAAAGGCTGTAGGTTAGGCTGTGTCTTAAGGAGGGAAGTGAGGCAATTGCATGGCCATTTGGGGAATCTCAGGTTTGTGGAATTGAGCAGCGTGTGCTGTAGGTCTGTCTTGTCTGTGGATCAACCAACATGGGCACCCTGATGCCAGCACAAGGTTATGCGTCTGGGGGTGGTCTGTGCTGGCAGTTTTAGGCTTAAGATCTCCAGCCCTCGGCTCTGTCACAGCAAAGACGGTGCCACTGACGGGGGGCCAGGACGGCCCTGCCGCGGGTCTCATCCCCTCGTTGTCCCGGCACGTGGGACGGCGCCGTCGAGGGCCGGGGCTGCGGGCGCGGGGCGTGGCCGCTGCCGGCTCCTCGCCGCCCCCTGGTGGCCGCTCGGGCGCTGCGCAGCTGCTCCCGCTCCCGCTCCCGCTCCCGCCGGGCGGCGGGGCGGGCGGGGCCCGGGGCGGGCGGGAACGGAACCCTCCGCGCCGGGCACGGGCCGCCTGCACGGCCTGGGCCTGGCAGGACACGGCAGAGCTCGCGGGCCTGGCGTGCCATACACCCTATCATAAAGTGAGGAGCTCTAATTGCGCTACGGCGCGTTATCCTGCTATTTGTACAAATAAAAGACCCCGTCTTGATGCAAAATAAACACAAAAGCACTGTTGTGACTATAACAGGGAGTCATATACTAATTTATATAATAAGTGGTTGTGCACGCTTTATTCAAGATTATGGCTGCAAGAAATGGCATGAATTGCTGGGTGTGTTTAATGCTGGATTATAGCAATTTGAAACATGTCAAACACATGGCTAATGCCTCATGCTTCACTCATTCTTGCGTAAACCTGCATAGCCACCATCCATTATACCCTTGGTAACAACACAATTCTGCAAGTAAATATTGTTACACTAAGTAACCTTTCAATTCAAGTTGTTTAGGAAGAGAAAATGCAATCTTGTGCAGTCAGTTCCAGTGTCAGTTTAATGTTTCAAAAGGGAAGTGGTGTAGAGAATAAGTATCTGTACAGTGACTTGCTGGCTTAAAACATACATGTGTGCACGTGCGTGCACACGCGCACACAAAAAATGTACAGTTCACTTCAGGAGAGAAAAGTAAAAATGTAGCTTCTAACTTCACAGGAGGAATATTTTTTTTTTTTGGTATGGGTGACAGCATGGTTACCCTGGCAATATTAGGCATTCAACCTGCTGTGCAACCACGCACTAAAATAATCTACAATTTCACTCTCTTGTGCACAGAACAGCAAATATTTTCCCCATACTTTTGTTCAAAATACCAGGTAGCAGAGCTTATATCTCACCTTTGGCGCCCAGAGTTACGGAATCACAGAAGTAGGTGCTGCTGAATGTTTGTGTCTGTGAATGTGGGTGCATGTGTGCCTGTGTAGGCACGCTCATGACTGACAGCAAGTGTGACAGCAAGAGAAAAAGAGATGGATTAGAAAGTATGACTGTGTATAAATGTATGTAAACAGGGACCTATATATTTTTTCTTGTCCTTTTAGAATTCCTAAACTTTCAGCTTTAGTATCTGGCAGTCATCGTATTTCCTTTGTATTTATTTATGATTATTATGCTAACAATCTCCACTACTGTTGTAAAAGCAAGAAAAAAAGTACATTAGTTTGCTTAGTAAGATGTTGCAGGTTCAAATTATTTTGCCACCAATAACTCAAATTACTGATACATAGATTTCAGAAATTATCCTTGTTTAAGTGTTTTCTGTACTTCAGTTTCGAGGGTTTAGAGTTGATAGTATGTACACACACAAGTGCATAGATTCATGTATATACATGTATGTGTGTGTGTGCAAGAGAAAAGAAGAGAAAAGAAAAAGATTCTATTCTCTTACTTTCTCCAGCATCCCTTTTTTAGTTGCTGGCAGGGGGAGGGGGATTGGCTGTGCACAACCAACACAGAACATTACTCAAGCCAAAGTTTCTGTGTTGTTTTTAAAAATACCCTTTTACAACTAGAAAAAACCCACACTTTATTTTTAACATAGAATTATAGGGATTCTT